CCAAAAGAGAGAGACTGGCACAGGCAGGGAGGGGGCCCATGGATCACAGCCTATGGGGATTACCCCTGTTTGTGTTCTCTAACCAGAACCCGAGAACTGCCTGCCTCTGCTGGGACCATCGAGCAGCCCAGCGGCCTGGTCAACGAGGACCTCAGCACAAGCAGGCCTGGAGGAGTCTGCTGCTTGCCCAAGCTGGCTGGCCAAAAGAGAGAGACTGGCACAGGCAGGGAGGGGGCCCATGGATCACAGCCTATGGGGATTACCCCTGTTTGTGTTCTCTAACCAGAACCCGAGAACTGCCTGCCTCTGCTGGGACCATCGAGCAGCCCAGCGGCCTGGTCAACGAGGACCTCAGCACAAGCAGGCCTGGAGGAGTCTGCTGCTTGCCCAAGCTGGCTGGGGCTGGACACCCACACGTGCTGTGCACAGTCCTGCAGCTGAGCCCTGCGCCATCAGCTCTCCCTACGCAGCAGCTCGAATCACAGGCCCGAAAAGCACCAGCCTCCAGGCCATGCGGGGAGATGGTCCTAAAAGGGAGCAGCCCCTGGCCGTGCCAGCAGGGGGCATGCAGAGTCTGTCTCGCAGGGGACGCCCCCTGGTTGTGCCAGCTAGGGGCATGCTGAGCCAGTCCAGCCAGGCACATCCCTGACTGTGCCAGCAGGGGGCATGCAGAGCCGGTCCCACAGGGGGCGCCCCCTGGCTGTGCCAGCTAGGGGCACGCTGAGCCAGTCCAGCCAGGCACATCCCTGACTGTGCCAGCAGGGGGCATGCAGAGCCGGTCCCACAGGGGGCGCCCCCTGGCGGTGCCAGCTAGGGGCACGCTGAGCCAGTCCAGCCAGGCACATCCCTGGCTGTGCCAGCAGGGGGCACAAAACTCATCCAAGCTGCATGCTGGTAGGGACACACTAAGGCAGCGTGAAGCTCTATTATACCATGCACTCCTCTACTGGTGAGTGACAAATATGGTCCCCCCCACCCAAAAGTGCTCCCTCTGGCACAGAGTTGGGATCACAGGGACTCAGCCAGGGAGGCAGCTCCAACAGCAACCCCTGGGAATCCTGCAGACACCTGTCACGTATTCCAGAAGGGACCGTGGTGCTCATCTTGTCTCAGCCCTGGATACCCCAGCCCAGAGACCTGCCCCAGATAATTCCTAGCCCGGAGCCACGAGAGGAACAGCCCAGCTCCCTTTATTTGAAACGAGCCAGTGACGGAGAATCAACTGCAACCCTCAGGCACTTGTTCCAATGGTTCATTTCTGTCACCGTTACTTCTGGTCTGAACTCGTCTCACTTCCAGCCATGGGATCATGTTTTACCTTCCTCTGCTAGACTAAAGACCCTGATGTCAAATATTTGTTCCTCTGGCAGGTACTAACAGAGTGCGACCAAGTCAGCCCTTCCCCGCCTCTTTGTCAAGCTCACTAGATAGAGCTCCTAGAGACTCCTTATCTGGCAAGTGTCCTATTCCCTTCATCACTCCTGTGTCTCTGACCCCTCTCCAATGTCCTTTTTGAATTAGGGTCACCAGAGCTGGATGCGGGGTTCCCACAGCGATTGCACCAGTGCCCAGTTGAGGCTCCTGCTTGTCTCCTCCTCAAGGCTCCCATTATTCACCCCAGAATTGCTTGAGCTCTTTTAGAAACAGTGTCCCGCAGGGAGCACATACTCCACTGGTTATCCACCATGACCCCCACAATTGAGGGGTCCCTGCTTCCCAGGATCCCCCCCATTCTGTAAGTACGGCAACATTCTCACTGTTTGCTTGTGCCCAGTTTACCAACAAACTCATATCAGGGACTAATATCAGGTATTTGTGTATCCTTTGCAAATTGTATCCATGGTGATTTTATGTTTTGTTCCAGCTGTTAAATAGTCCCTGGCCAACCACCGATCCCTGTGGGACTTCTTGGAAGTGCCCCTGCCTCACAACAATTCCCCATTTACAGTTGCACTTGGAGACCTATTAGTGAATTTTTAATCCATTTACTGTGTGCCCAGTTACTAGCAGAGCCACCTCATTTTTTAGACAAAATCTTTTCCGATGTCTGTGACATCACCACTGTTACCTTTATCAGTCAAACTCAGTTTCATTAAGTTAATTTAAGGGGGGGTCTATTTTTCATAACTCCCTGTTTCCATGCTGATTTGCACTCCTATTACATTCCTTCAGTTCTTTATTAATTGAGTTTGCGTGTCAGCCACTCCATCATGTTGCTCAGGCTCCATGTCACGTTGACAGGCCTATAGTTACTTGGGTCAACCTCTTTCTAAAAAAAGAAGCACAACATTAGCTTTCTTCATGTTGTCTGGAATTTGCTCAGTGCTCCAAGATTTACTGAAAATCAGTGTTAATGGGCCAGCGAGCTCCTCAGCCAGCTCTTTGATAACTCTTGGATGCAAGTCATCAGGCCTGCAGACTGAAAATGAACTTCCATGGCTGATGTCCAGGCCTTGCTCTGGGCTACGGACGGGCAGGGATGTGACCTGTGCCAAGAGGCTACTGAACTCAGGCAGACCCCCAGAGATGAGACCTGGCAACTCTGGGCTTGGCACTTCTCAGCCCTGGCCCCCCTGGATTTGCTGTGTCAGCTATGAATGCAGCCAATTGTCTGAGGCCCGGCACCTCTTTCGTTACTAATTAAGCACAGCCTGTGCTCCTCTGGCTCCCAGCCTGTGTCACCACACAGCAGCTCCCTAGGGCCTGGCCTGGAGGGATCAGCCCCAGCTCTGCCCTTCTGTGCGCCCCACACAATGACCCTTGCAATCGGCCAGTTTTACAGCCCTGCCGGAGCCAGAGATGGGTCTGACCTGCACTCTGTGGATCTAACGGAGAGCGGGTCTTTTCTCCCTCCCCGGGCTTCTGCTGAATCTTGGGCCCCACTGAAGCCAACATGGGGCCCAGAACAGCCCAGTGACCTGCCGCTGGCCTGCCTCTACCCAAGTGCTGCACTGCCCAGTCCAGCACCTAGTCCATGCCAGCGGCCACACCTGGATCCCACCAGCCCACAGCTCCTGGCTCCCATGACAGAGCCCCAGCAGCAAAATGTAGGGGAGGGATCTGGAGCTGGGAACCCTTCCACCATAAGCCCCGGTCAGGGGGACACAATCCATCATGCAGCCTGGGCGGCAGCAGGAGACAATAGGCCCAGATCCCACGGGAACTCAGATGGGGCAGGGTGGGGGGCTGCAAGTCTTGATCCATGACCCCTCCTGCCTGCAGCACTGGAGCTGGGCGCCCTGCTGTCCCCAGGCAGCTGATCAGCCTTTCCCCTCACCCTGCTAGGAAGGGATCCAGTCTCCCCAGGCTTTGCCTGGGAACCCAGGCCCGTGACAGAGCTCTCCTCAGACTATGCAAGGAGATAAATCAGTAGTTTTCAAATGGGGAGGCCTACAGGGGGCCACCCTCCCGACACAGGCCACAGGTTGAAAACCACAGCTCTAGACAAGGGCGGGGGTGTTGCCTGGGGAGGGCAGGGAAGCAGTTACTGGAAAGGCAGCTGTTGAGCCACACATCTTGGATGGTTAAGGCCAGCTGTTTTCAAGCTGCGAGTCCACGGACCACTGGCAGGGGGGAGGGAGGTGCTGCAGACCAGACCTGAGACTTCCAAAGGGGCCTGCATGTCCAATCAAAAACTTTAAGGGGGTCCCACCAATGAACAAAGGTTGAAAACCACTGCCCGACTTGGGGAGGTTAAGGAGGGAGTAAATAGCTAATCATGTCGTTGATAAAGGAGGACGCCTCTGGGAGCCACCTAGCCTTAGGGGAAGGTGAGCAAGGCAGTTGCCTTGGTCCCCCACGCTGCCAGGCGCCCGCCACCCAGCTGCTCGCTCGCTGCCCTGGCTGGGAGCCGCCTGGCCACCTGGTGCAGCCAACCACAACAGGTCGCCTTGGGCCCCACAAACTTTGGCCAGACCTGGCTGCAGCTCTGCAGTTTAAATGTAGTAAGAGCAGGGCGGGCAGGCAGCCTGGCTCCTACTACATTTAGACTGCAGCGCCACAGCAAGGGTAGGTCCTGGACTGGCAGGAGCCAGAACTGAGCTGGGCTTGCTCAGTCCCATCTTGCACCAGATCCAGCAGACTCTGTTCCCCGTCTGCAGGGATCCTGGCCCTCCTTTCCAAACTAAGCATACCCCGTTCCTCCGGCCTTTGCTCAGGTGGCTGCGCTCCAGCCCTTTGATCAGCTTTGTGCTCACCTCTGGGTCCTTTCCAGTTTCTTCACATCCTTTCTATACGGCGGGGACTGAAACTAGACAGCACCCTCACTGAGGCCAAGCCAGCGCTGACTTGTGCAAAAGCTCTCACCTCCCTGCCTCGCAGGCCATGCCCCTACGAGTGCAACCTGCAAGTCACTGCGTTCGCTTTTTGTGCAACAGCAGCATCCCCTGGCTGACTCATGTTGAGATTTTTGATCAACCACAGCTCCCAGCTCCTCTGCGGTGCTGCTGCCAAGCCAGTTCTCCCCCCAGGCTGTATTTGAGCGTTTGGTTTTTCTTCCCTAAGAGTGACACCTTACATTCGTCTTTGAAGAATTTCATGTTGTTGTTCAGAACCCAGCTTGACAGCTCCCCACGAGCCCTTTGAATTTCAGCGCTTGGCCCCAAAGTGTTTCACTCACATGTGCACATTTTGGGTCACCTGCAAGATTGAGCCATGGGTGCTGGAGTCCTGCAGCCAGGTCACTAATACAGATGTTAAGCAGACCTCTGTGGAACCCCCCCCCCCCACATGCCCCCCCCAACCACATGCAGTTCTATTAATAGCTGCTCATCGTCTGAGATTCGTTAACCAATTACGTATCCATGTAATGCTAGTTCTAAGGAGCCCATGTGTCTCTGCTTACTTATGAGATCG